ACAAGTTTTCCCCCTCAACCATTCATTCACCATGTACCATTCAGATACTGAACTTATGGTCCTCTACGCCTGATTTCGTCAGTTTTGTATTATGAAAGGATACCGGCGATTCCTTATGAATACCCTCGTTTTTAGCCAGCCACAGAAGTCGACCTGGGAGGACCTCACTGTAGGAGCCCAGACGTGGCATATTAAATATGGACTAGAATCCCTGCCGTGGAATCACTTCGTTACCGCTTTCTTAACAAAAGAGGAATGACTTACTGGCGTCGGACGCGTCGGTGTTCAGATGGCTCGGATGGGAGGAGAGATTTTGGGAGGATCGCTCTGAAATTGATGTTCTCTGCCATCTTGCCAGATCCTCTTGCAATCGAGAATGTTCGAATTGCCTTCACGGAGACACGGATTTTTTTAGGTTGTAAATAACTTTTATTACTAAATGAGCCGTGCCCTCCCTTTTCTATGGTTCCAAGTTCTTCTAAAGTCTATATGCTATCAAGCATGCGTCTGACACTACATGCACCTATATTTAGAATCGTAGGAACTCGGCTACGCGTCTCCCTAGTTGCTCCGATAGGCAGGCTACAGCAATGGCTCACCTTTTCTGGATCAGCCTCATTGGGTACTCGGCTTCATGTAAGACCAAAGCATCGTGGTCTGAAAAAGACTGAACTTTTTCCTTCAATGTATTCTTCAGATGGAAGATGCCATGAAACTCGAACTCACTTTCCGATCCGACATTTCGATCGATAACCATCGAAAATACACAACCAACACACACCAGAAGTACTACTGCCGAGAGATTGGTCATGGTTGTGGATACCAGTGAACGACTGACGATTTTTGAAAGTAAACTTATTCAAGAATCAACCTTGAGGTACCGGATTCCCCAGTCAGGCAATGCAAGATACCGAACAGTTGAAAGTGAATGTTTTGTGTGCACGCCCATCTCCAGTTTAGAGTATGGAAAAACGAAACTAATGTGAAGTAACTGTTACTAATGAGTCGAGTTTCTCGTAGTTTGATACTTCCTTTGAAGAGATCGAAATACCCTTATCGGATAAAAAAATGAAAGGGCAAAGCGTCTGGCATTGTTCAATCCCATTGTTTAGATGCGCCAAGCATTCAACTTTTTTCAGTAAAAAACACGATGACTACTTTCTTTCTTGCCTTGTTCCGTGCTGCCTGTACTATCTAATTTCCATCCTTGTTTGTTCCGCAGTTATCCAACAGCCCCACGTGGGAGGAGGCATACCCGTGTGTCGAAGTGCAAACTCCGCGCTATCATTCCCATTGGAATGAGGCATCATGGCCAACTGGTGTGGGCACTGGGTTACTGATTCTGTGATGTTAATTGTCAGCCCAGTACCACAACAAGGCTGCATCCGTAATCATCTCTCCTATGTCTTCATTCCTCCTACGTCCTGTAATCAAGTGGACTGCTATTGTTGACTTGATTTGAATTCAGTTAAATAGAGTGAAAAAGAGCATAGCGCTCGGAAAGTGCAAGAATAAGTTCGAATCTCGCCGGAGGCTGACCTTTTGTCCACAAATCGCCGATCTTGTGGAATTTCAACACCGCGTACTGCGGCCAAGCGCATAATACCTATCAACGAGAACAAAGTCAAAGCGGGCAACTTTCATTTTAGAATCGTAATGGCTTATAGAATTTGCGTTTGATGGAATTGCTCACAATAAAAATGGTACTTTAGATTCATTCCTAAGATGAGGCTATTCTCAAGTAAAGCTCACGGGACGCTGTCAAGCCGGAAACGACTTAGATAGGGCGTAATTAAGGATCCAAAACTGGCTTAGCTCACGTGCCTATCCAAAGGCGATGTACTCGGAACTGAATACACCAGAACTCGATTTCTAACGCGCGATGCTGTTCGCATCATTCGCACAAGGACCTACACGTTGTACGTAGGCAGCTTACTGTAGCCAGCTTACGCAATAGCGCCTACACCTGGGTAGCTCATATGCCATTCGATGCAGCTTTTATAGCCACATGCTTGTCCAATCCCACTACTTTTTTAGAGCCTATTTTCTAAAGACGCCGATCTTCGTGCTTTTTCGCCACTTTTGACTAATCTGGATTATCAGTTCCACTACTCGACCAAAACTAGATACCCTGAAATTATCGTGAACTGTGAATTTGATAAACAATCCCCTGCGGTAACCAGTCAGTGGTCAAGAGAGTGCTTCCCAGATAAGTTCAGTACCAATTAACCGGCCCTAGAAAGATCTAAAATCCTGTTTATACAGCTCTGGGATTTGATCCTTTGACCATGGGGGTGTGATAGTATGCCACTTTTATCTGAACCACATCCAGGCAATCTTAATGTAGCTGAACTCTGTAAACATCAAAATTCGTGGGGATATAGGTAGGGCAGCATTACTGCACCCACATCCAAAGTCTTGTTTATATAGCTCTGGGATTTGATCCTTTGACCATGGGTGTGTGATAGTGTGCCACTTTCTCTGAACCACTTAAAGGTAATCTTAGCTGTATTCTGACAAACATCAAAATTCGTGGGGATATAGGTAGGCCAGCATTACTGCACCCACCGATTTGGTGAATAGGAAACATTCCCGTCCGAGACATCAAGTAATTCTCCTCATTCAGTTGTTTAGGTGTCAACAGGCAGACTCCTTACTGTTCCTACAATCTGTCCCTGTTCGACAGCAAGTTTTAACATGTGGGTAGAAGCCAGAATATAGGATTGCACGTCAATCTCCTCAAAAAAAACGTTCTAAAGAAGCTACGATTCCCGAGCAATGAGATTCTCATACATTTCCTCTCTACTTTGCTTGATGGGAAGTATCGTTCTCTGGGCGCACATGAACTTAGCTCCAAGTTGGTACAACGGTAACTAGTTTTCGTTGTTGAACCGAAGCCTGACCCAATCGTAGGAGTCATTCTTAAATTCGCCCTATTCACTTCTTTACAAGCCTAGCCACAACAAAAAGAATTTCAAAATGCGAACAATTCGGTCTCGTTACGCCTAGGCCAACGAGTTACAGGCAACTCTTGGGAAAAGGGGTTACTGAATCTATGCGCCCAATGTTCAAAATGGCTGTCGGTAACTCTTGATATCTGCCATTAAACTATTTATTACTCTGCAGAACTGGTCGAATAGTTTTAGAACAATGCTTAGATGAAGTGAAAAATATCATGTGTGCAATGAAGATCATTTTGCGTATACTTCTTGAGCCTCCTGATTTGCTGCTTTGGTTATTCTTTTCCCTTAAACCTCTTCCAAAACATCTTCAGCCTACTAGCTTTCTTTGGTGCCGGTGTCTGCTCAGAAGGTGTCGGTTCTACGCTCCTCTCGGAATTTCCTTCAGCCTTTTTCCCTGCAGCAGCAGCCTCGATAGCCTTNAAAAAAGTCATGTGTGCAGTGAAGATCATTTTGCGCATACTTCTTGAGCCTCCTGATTTGCTGCTTTGGTTATTCTTTCCCCTTGAACCTCTTCCAAAACATCTTCAGCCTACTGGCCTTCTTTGGTGCAGGTGTCTGCTCAGAAGGTGTCGGTTCTACGCTCCTCTCGGAATTTCCTTCAGCCTTTTTCCCCGCAGCAGCAGCCTCAACAGCCTTTTTCTCAGTTTTTTCACCTTTCTGCTCAGCTCCTGTGGTTTTCTTTGCTGATCCAGCTTCATCGCTCTTCCTTTCCTCGGCTTTCTTCTCACTATCCGTAGTTTTTGTAGCAACCTCTTTAATTTCTTTGTCTCTAACACTTCCCTTTTGGTCAGCGATACCCGAATCTTTTTGCCCTCCTTCTTTAGTAGAGTCAGGGGCTTTCGAAGAACCTCCTTGAGCAGCTCCTTCTTGATCCGATTCCGTCGGACTCTTCTTCTTCTTCGAAAGAAACCGTCTTAGCAACCGTCTCGCCATGGATTTATCGTCATCGGATGATGCCTTGCCTGATGCCGCAGAACTGCCGTCACTTTGCGGAACGGGTGTCGTCTCGGATGATGTCACTGTAGGTTGAACTTCCTCTTTTGTACCAGGAGACTTTTTCTTGGTATACCGTTTCAATTTTTCGAGTAGCTGTGAGCGTTTTTCCCCTTTTCCCTCCTCTGCTGGTTGTGCTTCCGCTTCTACCTTCTTCGGTTCCTCTTTTCGATCACTCTGAAGACTCGTTGGCTTCTCCGAAGATTTTGAAGTCGTAGGCTCTGGTTGAGAGATCTTTTCCTCGGCGGCTTCTACTTTCTCTTCCGGAGGTTTGGTGGCAGGAGCGGCAGTTTTTTTCCTGCGCAACACCCGAAGACTAATTCTCTGGAAGAAAGTTCCTTCATGTTCCTTGGAAGGTTGGCTCGGTGCAGGTGTGCTTTTGGGGCGTGCTTCTGTTGATTCGGTAGATCCTACTGTCGCAGCTGTGACAGCTGGCGTAGGACCTTGCGATGGTGCTGGTGAAGGTTTGACTGTCTCGCTGGATGGACGCTGTTGAGGAGCTGCCGGTTCGGTGCTTTTAGCAGGCTCCGCAGATTTTTCGGATGACGTTGACTCCGATGGCTTTGGTGTACCCTTTAATTTCGTTCTTATTCTTCGGATACTTCTTTCGAAGACCGACTCCTTGGGTTCATCCTTAGCCTGTTTTTCTTGTGCGGGAGTGGGCTCCACATTTTCACTTTTTGGCTTCTCAGAAGGCTCAACCGCAACGCTATCGCTAGCCTGGCCTTCACCTGAGGTAGATTCGGCGCTGCCAGCATCAGAGTTTGCTATCATTGTAGCAAGCTTCTTTTTCTTGGGACGGAAACGGAATCTTTGGAAAAGACTCATAGTGAGAGATTTCCTCAATTCGTCCACATGGGACACTTTTTCTTGTGCTTTTTCTTTCTGTTTTTTCTTTGAGCTTCTCGTCGACTGGTCTGTGTCAAGATGAGTCAAATTAATGGGTTCTCCTCTCTTTGGCATCACTTTTGGCATTTTCTTCACCCATTCCAAAGTGAGCGGAGTTCTGCAAAAACAAAATGATTTTTCCAGGGTGCTGAATTTATTTTTACAGCTACAAGAGAGTTTCTACAATTGCTTAATGTACTGTATCTCAGCTAAAATTGTTCTAGTTATGAAGCGAAAGGTCTCGCTTCATTCCTTTGAAATTCATCGTAGAGGTTCTCTTCGGGGTACTTATCCAGGGGTCCAGGTTTAGGCCTGGGACCTTCCCAGTGAGCGAGCAACATTACTAGGATCCCACTCTAGCTCGAATGTTTTCTATAGGGAGCAAATAATGAGCTCACATAGAACGAGTTGCTCAGAACCGCTGAACACTTTGGTAACGAATGATGGTGTGTGCGGAGTTGACTCAGTTCCCAATTCGCCGACCATCCCAGGTAGTCTACCTCGTCGGGCTAGGATCCATGTGGGTAAGTGACTACCGTCTCACGTGCCACACAAGATGGATACCGATTAATCCCTGTTTGATGGATGAATAGGTCGGAATAAATGGGCGCAGAGGCAACGACTAGTCTGTACAGAAGTACATACATATAAGGCCCCATGGTTTCCTACTTCTGCAGCACTTCGGAGTCTACACTAGCTTCTTTCAAAACCAGCAGTCACTCAGCTGAAATAACAAGCGCTCACACACCCTTTTAAATGAGAGTCCCTTGCTTCATCCATGAGCCGCCTCAGACCGTTGTAGTCAATCTTGTCGGTTGCTGATTTGATTATCTTCGCGGCTTCCTTCATCTGTGGAGAACAAGAGGTGAGCGACTCCGCTAAATCTGAAATTCAGTGAGAAGTTTCAAGGAGATCGATGTTGAATCAGATTCACCTAAGACCAAGATTTGATTCTTTAGGAACGGTAAGCATCCCTTGGTGAAACTTTGCTTGAAGACACCTTGCCTACTTCCGAATGGCCTACTTCAAAGTCAAGAAGGGGTAAAACTCGCGAAATGCAACTTTCAATGTAGTTTTACACTTTCAGGGTCGTTGTAAAAGACTGTTTGTTCCAGCTTTTCGACTAGTGCGGATGGCTGTTCACAATAGGGCGTAAGCAGGTAAGCTGGAAGAGGGGTGGGTAAGGTATTTATACTTTGACAGCATAGTCGAGTTGACTTCACGAGAACGCTCCCAGAGGAAAGACAGCTCACTTGCCAACAAGTGCGCTGCTATCACCGAGCGTGTCAGAAAATTTTGAACTCTTCATTGCTCTTTTACGTGGCCGTTTTTCGTTCAGATACCACCATTTTGGACTTCTTTGGCCTCAAGTTTTGCCCGAGGAAGTAATCTTCGAAGTCAGTCTCTGCTGACGATGTTTTTGAAGTTGCGGAAAGCATCTTCTAGGATTGCTGTTCATCGTCTGTTGGACCACCCATGTTCTGCACCGCGGACCTATTGTCGAGGTGAGGCTGACTAAAAGAGAAAGGAAGAAGTGAGGTTGGGAAGCCAGCTAGGATAAAAAAGAAGCCGTCGCTAGCAGCAAATTTCTGGAAATACTGTTTCGGGCAGTATCTCTTTTAGACCTACTTCAAGAGTAGCTTATGGGCAGACTGTTTTGCGAGCAAACAACTGTCGCACTTACTATCCCAGAACTTCGTCTTAGCCTCCTGAATTTCAGCTTCATTGTGACTCTGCTTCCAAGTTAAAATTTGTGGATAAAGCCTAAATCGAAAATATCTTTGAAGACACCTTCCAGTTCAATAGAGTGTACTGACAATTCAGAAAATGTGTAGAACCACGATTCCAGATCCATTTTAGGTTTGGCTACTGCCCGTTTGTGAGCGTCGATCGACATATAGGGAAGAGAATATGCGTCTGGTGTTGCGTAACTACAAGTACCCTCATTCATCATAAGCCAGAGAGCAAGTAAGCACTAAGTTAAGAAGTTATGAAGTTACCTAATAGCTTTCCCGCTTTTGACAGTCTCTCCAAAATCTATCAAAAACAGCCGTACGGCTGCTACCTGTAGACCAACACAAAAATTTGTTGGTTTGACATCTCGATGGACATAGCCAAGTACATGAACATCCTTAACAAAGGCGTAATTGTCTATGACACCTGTAAATAAGTTGTTCACTCTTCTGTAAGGACCAAGTTTTTCGGCTCTACGAAAGTCGTCCCTAGAGAGGGGTGTCCAGGCGGTTCGAGTAGTTACTTGCATCTCCCAAGTGATCAGTCCCACGACAAAGAAAAATTCTCGGTTCATGGATTCTTTCGCAAATACGAGAAGATCCTTGTCCACTTTCGGAATATCCAATAACTGTAGCGACAAATACTACCCGTACACACCTCTATAGCTGATAGCGCTTCTGCAGCCAAGTGATAGACAGACGTTGGCCGGAAGGTGCCTTTCACACTTTCTTTGAGCTTCTCTAAATTCCTGTCCAGAAGAGTCATAACTGAAAAAGGAGGCCCTATCATAGTCGTCGTTGACAATTTGAGAGAATACCAGCTCACCTATGTAGGATCTATCACAAACTCTACCGCTATCGATCAAATGAGGACTCCTCATGGCATTACCGTTCTTCAGATCCTTTAAGACTTGGAGTTCTCTCTGAATCAAATTACCATTCCTTTGAATTCCAATCAGCTCCCGAGAAAAAGGAGTTGCGCTGAGTGTCTGGGATGTACTCATAGGTACCTTCGGGAGGTGAGCTATAGGACCGGTATGGACCAACCCACTATGGCCGTTCATCTCAGGAAGTGGAAAATGTGGCTTATTTTTTTTTAAATCGGAAATTAGGCGTCGGAGAATTACCAAGGCTTTCTCCACCTTTCTTGTGCGCTATTCAATCAGGTGCTCCTGACCCTGTCCAACCTCACAGCCAATATCTCTGCTCTTTTGAGGGCCTGCCCAATGTGCGCGTTGAGATTAGGGTACACACGAAGTATGAAAGGTGCCAGGTAGTCCCGCCCACATGCACAGCGCATTTTTTACCGATGAAATCGTACCTTAAAACGTAGCTTGGTGCAAGGACTGTCCTTTCGTAAGCCACTCTTCATAGCATACAATGTGCTGTCAAGTACTTCTTCGTTGCTGAAAGGATGGCCTTCACGGATAGCTGACCTTCCGGCTTTGCTTAAAACAGTCTTACTCGGTACACGTCTGCTTCACAACTATATAAACGGCAGAGTAGCGGCCTTCGTTGTATTTTATGAGCACCTCATACCGCGAGTACTCACGGGATTCTTCATCAAGGCTGAATAAGTAACAAATTGAAGCTCACGTTCAATAAAACTTTCGTGACAATCATATCTCTCTCCTAAACAAGACCCCGTTCAGTTTTCATGGTCCTGAAGGGAAAAATGGAGCCATGGAAGTCAAAGTACACTGGTGATCGCATGGCGTATTTTTCGCCATTTCCTTGTTTCCCTTGTGCAAGACATCGTGACAGACAAAACGAGAACTGTTTCAACATCCTATCGAGAGGGGCCCAGGTGCTCTAGTGACGGAAGGGAGCCTTGGATATTGTCCACATTTCCATTTTCATTAATCAATTTCCTCGCCTACTTTACAAAATCTTAGCCAAGATTATTCTGAAGGCGATGCTCAATTATAGGGTTTTCGAGTCAAATTCATAACATCTCTCGATGAGATGGGATGTATGGTGTCATTCATCAGATGGATCAGTTTCCCAACAGCAGAGAGAGTATCTTTGGGCACTATGCCAGAAGGCAATGGAAAACTCAGAACTTTTTCAGTTGTTTTTCAGGTTCCTCTACAGCATAGTCGGCATTTTTCAGGTTCCTCTACAGCATGGTCGCCATTCAGTACTTGAGGCCTCGCTCGTGGACCTCACTACTCATACGATGCTGTCAATAGACCCTGTTTCGAAGTGACAGTGTGGACCTACTTATCATCAGCGATGACAAGATCACCGGCTTGAAGCTGTTCATTTCCCCTCAAGAAGTTATCCAGCAAGTCAATTTCATGACTCTGAATAGGAAAAAATACGCTTTGACGACGATTTTGTTTCTGAATTGTCCTGTATAAAGCAGGATTGGCTTCGCATTGTTGACGAAGACCAAACTTTCTGTCCATAAGCTGCATCCTAGTAAAATTTCAGGGTTCGCGAATTTGGTAGAAAAAGACTTACCTCTAAAAGACTTCTACCTGTGGGAGGAACCAAATCTGGTCGTATTTCTTCGTATAGCTTCATCTTGAACCATGGTGGCTGCTGGGGCGCCTTTGACAATGCTCCGAGTAGTGGCTTGAAAATGTTCGTATTCGAGCAGTGGCTTGAAAAGATGAGCAGACTCAAGCGTTTGGTGACCGTTCTATGTACAGTATTAGATACCTAGAGATATGCATCAAAGGACTAACTACATCCGCTGATGGAAGCATCCTTCTATTCAAAGTTTCTGTAGAGTGGGAAATGCCTACTCTATCGGAGGTAAAACTTCTTGGAGGACAATTCTCTCTTCACACTCTTCATTCTCTGGCTGCTTTCATAGTCCGCCAGCCGGCCGGCCGGCGTGCCGGCGTGCCGGCGGAGGCAGTGCTAGGGGGGAGGAGGGAGGCAGACGGTGTAAGGCAAACAGTCCACGCCCCTTCGAAGGTTGTTTGTTTTCAACCCCTCGAAGGGGCGTGGACTGTTTGCCTATCCGTCTGCCTCCCTCCTCCCCGCTAGCACTGCCTCCACGCCGGCACGCCGGCCGGCCGGCCTGCACGCGCGCCGGCACGCCGGCCGGCCGGCCGGCGGACTATGAAAGCAGCCTCTCACAACCAAAGATGTGGCCTAATAGCTGTGATGGAATCGAATCACCAGTTTTTCTGGAACCTTGGCACTGGGAGGAGGCTCCGCCCTCCGTGTCTGTCCCTCTCTTCTCATTTTACTTGATGACTTTTTCCTCACCTCTGCCCAATTTTCCTGGTGTCTTAGCTGTTCTGGAATCAATGTAAGAAGTTTTGTTCTTCACTGCCCCCATTTCGGAGCATGCTCCACCCTGCACCACCATACCAAACTTGACCGGATCTCTCTGGATGCCTTCTCAGGTCATGTAGGGTTTCGTGGTAGAAAGGCAGAATAGGCGATTTCTTCACGTGTGCAATAAGGATATATAGCATACCACCAAATTTCAAAAGCATAGACTTTCTAGTGAAGGCTCCTATGCAGCCAAATGATTCTAGGGCAAAACGCTGCCCAAGACAGGAATCGAACCTGTGTCGCCACGGCCACAACGTGGAGTACTAACCACTATACTACTTGGGCCGAGGGTGTCGCTAGAAGCACGCGTTCTCGAGCGAAGGCTTTCAGTCAACCTAATCCATTCAAGGCAGAACCTGGTTTATGGAATTGAATGCAGTGCATGCTGTCAAGCATCACTTGGCCAAAAGTATCGTGGAGCATGGACTGGCACTATGGATAGGAGTTCCCTCAAGAAAACTGTCTGTTCGTACTCACAAAACCAATTCGTCTATCTTATGATCACGAATTCCTTTTGAGGGACACTTTTCGTATGAATATGATTGCTTCAGTCAAGCCTTCCCCTAACACTCTTGGAAACAGCATCATAGCTTCCCACGGGAGGGTGCGGAAATGGGTGCGTACGTTTTCCGAAAATCCTCCACGTTCTCCCTCATCCGTAGAAGGCAGAAAAAAAGTTAAGCCCTGTTCAAGTAAATTTCTCAGCACCATAATGGCTATCGCCAATACGGACCAGTGAAGTTGACGCTTCATGTTTTCTGCGCTCTGGCCTTCAGCGCTAGAAAGGCTGAGCGCAGTGGGATGACTACGCCTGGCTAAATTTTCACCGATCTCATCCCAACCTCTCAGAGCGAAGGGACAGTCGAAAAGACGCGATGGGTGCAGCTATCGTTACCGTTTCCTCACACTTCAGTAGGTTGCAGGCTAACGTGAATTGAGCTTGGGCTAGAAGTCGATATCCGTACAACAGTATACCGTGCTTAACGCGAACGATCTCACTACAGATCAGGATGTAGAACCTATTATGACACCGTCTTGAAGAGGGAAGAGGGGGAGATTCCCTGGGACTGGATGGTAAGCTCGCTCGCTGGTTGTAATAAAGCAGAGCTCAGAGCAGCTGAAACTAACTGAGCGCACAACCGTAGTGCACAATGAGCCTTTCCAACCGTGCTACTTACTTCCACCGTGATAGAGCCCTTCGATAAAGCTGATATCGCCGATCCCTTATCACAGTGTGTCTCATTCATTGGCTGTCAGCAGCTGAGCAGCGCCTAACATCAGCCGTTTCGAAAGGGCAGTGAATCAAGTCCGGTATAACCGCCCCAGTCGCAGCTCCAGATCGTTTGATCGTTTGATGAACTTTCGAAGCTCACACAGATGGAACACACAGCAATATTACCGATCCTTTATTTCATCGTGAACTACTGGTTGCAAATGATGCGTTGACAATTGACTTACCGTCTTTTCCGGTGGAGGTGGGAGAGAAGCTGGCTGCTTGGGCTGTTCTGTTTTATCGCCTTCTTCTTCACCAGTTGAAGTGTCGTCTTCATCATCTCCCGAAGACTCCTCCTCGGAATCCTCCTTTTTAAACTTCTTTTTGGATTTTTGCTTCTCTTTTTTCTTCTTTTGCGAACCTCCTCTCTTCTAAACGTAGGCAATTTACTAACGGTCACAGAAGAAAAAGTTCGGGTACAATGTTTGTTATTCCCATGCTTGAGGGTATAGCAGCATCGAGGAAGGCAACTGATGCTATACAGAAGTCAGTATACTCACCGAGTGCTTCTTCCTGTTCATCTTCAACCATTCATCAGCAAACCATAGATAAACTGAACTAGATTTACTTACCAGTTTGATGAATACATCATTGTTAATGACGCTACGAAAACAAAAATATTTTCTATCATGGGCCGTTTATCACTTGAAGTATTCATCTAGGGTATGGTATGGTATGATCTCTTCCGCAGAGGCTCAACCAGCGACGGTGACCCCGGCGACATCACCAGATAAGAATGCACGCTGAGAGGTGTGCCAATTTGGCTGTGGTACAACTAGACAGTCAAAGAGTAGAAATGCTGGACATGGACTACTAGTCCCATAACGCAGAAACCAAAATAAGGGCAGAAGATCCAAAAAAAAAGAATTGTTCTCATAATTCTTCAGTCCCAGCCTTGTATGACGACATGGTGTTAGAAATTGTATGACTATGCCAGTTTCCTACGCCATTCCGAAGAACAGCTTTCGCGTTTTGAGTAAAGCCATAGAGCTATTTTTAGGTATTATCATAGAGTAATCACCTCAAAGCTCATGAATGTCATTCACAGGGGAAAAAGAAGGGCTAACTGGCATGCAACCGAAGCTGCCGGAGTTTTTATTTCTGGAGAATCTCCAGGCAGCTCATTGGGGACACCTCTCAGTGTACATGCTGGGATCAAGCGGTAGTCCTTTTGTGACTGCAATACCTCGGACGACAAGCTAAAGGATTGAGAAAGTCGTGCTCACGTGAACATTCCCTGAGACCACAACTTTTTGCTAGTTAATGATGAAAAAGCAGTTTTTGCACGATGCTCCCTTCTCCGTACTTCTTTTCCTATACAGTAGACCGTTTTCTCCTTTTTCCTTCCTCTTCTGTAGATAGAATAGCAAAAGGCAACTTCCAGGAAGAAGAATTCAAAGGGATTCTAGAAGGCCGCCGGAGCGGTAAACTGGTTCATGTGCGGGAAGAGTTCTCCTTGTTTCTCCTTCTCTTCCAGACTGTTGGCCTTCTGACTGCTCCTAGTCCTGGTTATCACAAGGATCCCAAGGATAACCAGGACTAGGAGCAGTTTGAGGGCCAACAGTCATCAGATTGTTAGAAGTTCTATGATGTCGTCAGATTTTTTTCCGCGTAGGAACAATTCCCATGAGATCGCCGACAGATTTTTCAACAAATGTAGAGCGTTCCCTTTTTTGGGAGCATTTTTTCTCCCGAACATTCAGTTGAGTAGGCTGTCAACAAATTCAGTACGTAGTGACAATAATAAGTTCACGACACAGACTTCGTTTAAATCACATTTATTAACAGTTAGGAATCGAATTTTGTCGTTAGTGCTTTAGAAAATCAATACCGAAATGTTAAATATAGAAACTACAGGCACACATCATTAGGCACAACAATGCAAAATCAAATACAGAATCAGAGGAAAAACGCTGAGGAACAGGATAATGCGATTCCATAGTAAATGCTAAGCCGCAAAAATTTCTTATAACAATTACCACCAGTTACCTTGGTTATCGCTGAATCCAATCGAACCGAAAGGTGTGTTGATGTCGAAAGATTGTGATTGATCAGATCCTCCAAATGGTGGAGGTGGGGGTGGGGGTCCCCATCCTCCCATACCTCCCCACCTGCAATTTCACAGATTTTCCACAGTTCAAATAGGAAAGTGATTGTGACCGAGTAATCCTGTCTCCTAATTGTGCCGGAAAGCACTTCCAATTTATTTGCGATCAATGAGAAAGACTGTACATCACAGTGCACCAAGTTTAATTTTTCTGTCCCACTTAATTAAATTACGGTACCGGGAGGAACCTGCATTAGCGCGAGATCATTGCTAGTTAGATGAAGAACTGATTTGCCGTACTGGTGTTCTTTTAACCTGATCTAATGCCGACCGTTCTCTGAGCGGAATTAGAGGGTGATTCATTTCATTGTTTCCTTCTACCACATCCCAGAAGAAACAGGCAAAACACGTCCCACTTGACTAATCATAGGCCTTCCCCTTCCCAGACATATGAAGAGAGTGTAATGTCCTGGAAGTGACGATGAACTTACTGTCGACGGAATCGTGGATGGATTCGCTCGAGTTGTTTGTTGACGTCTCTGAAAATATATGTTTTTGCTATGACCTTACTGATTAGAAAAGATTGAGTTGATCATGTAAATACGGAAAGCTTTTCTTCTGATTAGTCCAATGATCAATTTTTCTCCATCACAGTGTTACTGTAGGGTCTTCGAAGAGGTATTCGACTAAAAGGAAGGGCCGTACTCCCCGATCAGCTGCTGCCTTTCTGCGTTTTTTGGTCCCTCTTCTGACTATCATAATGGTGGAAGTTGTGGGCAAATTTGTGATCACGGACCGGATTCGAACCGAGATCTGTGCATCCCGGGCACGCCCTTATCCATTACATACTCCCGCCGCAGCTTTGACTGATACTACACAAGGTCGATTGGTTTTCGCATCCTATTTGTTGTTCATCTTTGCAACTCAGTAAATATTTATTTGTTTACTTTATATAAATATGCAATCGAGAAAAGCTGAGCGTGAGCCTTGACTCTCGTTTGTGCAATGGATAAGAGTGAGGCTACCGTAGTTCAGGTTTGGGTATGAGTATGGGTTTACCCTTCGAAATGATATTCTCCCAGACAAAAAACAGCAATAACAAAACAATCACTAGTGATCTTCTATCATCGTGAACCCAAAAACTACTACGGGAATGCAGTCTTTAAGGAAAACGTTTGAGAATTGAAAACGATAACCCACCTCTTCCATCGCTCAGCATTGGAGAAGGGTAATCCAAAGTCCCTCTTTACATCGATTGCCATTGACGACACTGTGACAATAAGAAATAGCAACAGTATCACTGATGGAAGGTTAAGCATTTCGTCAGAGCAGGACCAACAGCTTCTGAAGAAAATTCATTTAATATCCAGCATTGAAAGGGCGTGTGCACTGAGAAATCAACGAGAGGTACTGACAGATTCGTTGGAACAGTATGAAATAAGTACACGCCTAACACCCCACCCCGTTCAAATAGAAACAAAAAAACCTGAAGGGGTATGTTTGCCACGACTAGGCCACGCCTCCAATATTTTTCGACTATTCGTAAGGAGCGTTTGAAACTTCCGTTACATCTGATTGAATCATGAAAACGGAGAGAAAAGGTCGCGCACTATTACATACGCATTTCGGGGATCGAATCCCATCTGCCTAAGCAGACCAAGGCTCCCTCCTTCCGGGATAGGTAAACTGGTATTGGCCTCGTGAGGAAGCATAAAAGCACAGACATGTATAGCAGTTGATCGCATCAAATAAGTAAGCCATATACCCACTCAAAACGTCACTTCTACTCTAAATGGAAGTGGAATGCTGGGCTCATCCAAAAGAAAACAGGATCGTGTGGGCCAAGAAACTCTACCTTCCATCCTTTGTAAACCATATGAGGTAGTGAAGCTACCTGGAGTTCGCACTCTTTAATATGGGCAATTGGTGACGTAACTTCCCTGACTCAGCGCATCCTGTTCATGACGTGACATCATTTTTTCCTTTCTGAGACGTTACTTCTGCTGGGGTTAGTCAGCAGGAAAGAAATCGGAGGAAGAAAAAAAAGCAAAAAGAACAGTGAAAAAGCATTTCCAAAGTTATTCGAGCTGACACCGGGAAGATGGGAATATTTCAAATTTTCAATAACTTCATTCATTCAGACTTGTTCATCACTTAGCAGGTGGCAATTCATGATATACTCAAAGATCGTGAAACCTTCATTAGAAGCTCACGCTCATGATTGTTGAACTAACGAAAACTGCGAACTAACCTCAAAGACTGTGGCTTTTAGCGGCATCTGTAAGATTCCTTGAGCCCAAAATGGTGTGATCGTAAGAGTTTTATCTATCCCGACACTACACACACGCTTTATCCTTCGAATCTTAGATTGTTCAGAATTCGATGAGCTCTCCCATCCTTCGCAAGATCCAGTTCACATTTGGAGGCCGCCACGTCGAATTTTTTTTGGGATGTCGCTTTCGAGGTATGAGATATTCCATCACATGGGCTGCAGTGGTGCACTGGTATTCCTATCCTTCCACTTTCAAATGGTTCTTGATGTATGCTCCCAAACCCATTTATCAAGTGGTGACTTTTTCTCAAATTCCAGGACTTTCTATTTTCAAGAGTAAGACATAATGACACAAACTGCTGCTTATGATTAATTTCGTTACCCAAGATGAGTAAGACATAATGAGTTGCCTACCAACAAGGTGAGTAGCTAGGCTGGAATGCTTTGGCATGTCCATAAAAACCTTTTTTCATCTTCCTAAACGTCAGAGGAAACCACTGTTGATAACCAATTTGGCTAACACCAATGAAGTGATCAAAGTTCTGTGAAAATCAGACGATGAAGGGATTCCACGTGTCTTCGAAACATCATATGAAACATATGAGTGTAGACGACCACCGTTACATTGCACCGACCGGAAACTGGCCTTCATGATACATCAAATGGGTAAAACTAATGCGATGAACGAGATGTTTGAACATCTGAGAATCCGTCGTGGATTTAGTGCAAAGCAGTCGTGCGAGCAGAAGAAATTCCCATTACCGTATTCCCACATAGACGGCACGGACTTCCAAAGAAAATCATCCAGTTTTTTCCTGAGCGCTTACGCAAATATTGAATTTGCAACCGGGTAAGTACACGCTTAAAGAAAGTAAAGAGTTCCTTTAGGTTCGAAATTACCCTGGGAATTATTTTAGGAAATGAAGGATCTTGTTTCTGACCGCCCGGTGCCATTCGTTTAAAGGCAATGTTCACGATAAAAAAGGCCACTGAGGCGCCCCCCATGGGTGGTAGAAGGTACCCTTTCGCTCCCACATTCTCGGCGCTTAGGGCATAGTGGAAGCCATGTTGCTGCCGTAATTGGCTTTCCCGCCTCTCAATCGATGTCACGTCAGACTAGTGTCGATGCAATACAGATTGCAATTATTCGTTCTAGGACACACACACAATCAGCTGATCGTGATGATATGGCGATGTTCTCCCCCCATTCTTTTTTCCTCTGTTATTCTTTTTGCTGCCGCGCGATCACTTATTTAATTTCGTACTCTTATAGGCTGAGAAATGGGCTACTTTTGCTGTTACTAGTGTTTTTTGTTAACTTATGCTTATGAGTGAATATTTCTGCTTACCGTAGTCTGTTATTCGCACCAGGACCCACACGTACGCAGTGAGACACATTGTATAGTTCGTTCACACGCCCCACTATTCTTCATTTTACTACCCTCATTCTCGTTCAGCCGCCTTTTTAACGGTTTTTCGTAGCCTTTTTTCATATTGCATTCACATTTCACATCGCATTTCACATTTTTCACATTTCACAGATTCACCCAGTTTCTTCACCTTCATCGCACCATTTTCGATCTTGTCTTTCATTTTTCATCATAATCTGGATTACCCAAAATCATCGTGAACTGTGCCTTTAACAACACTCTGCTTTTATGGAGCGTGGCTTCTACTACAGGTTTTGTCAGCTACCATATTGCTCCAGGAAATTCAATAATTTGGCAAGCGGAGGTGATTCAGACAGTCTGAGTTCTTATATCACGCCTACTCTTCTGCCTTTTTCTGTTCTAATTGCACTGTGAGGTCCTCGGTAGAAGGGAAGAAGACCTATATCAATAGGATGAAACGCTGAAGACGAATAAATGACTTTGATTAGTTCGCCATGATGCAGAACAATGTCGGTGAATAATTGATCAAGTTTTTCAAACTTCTAGCCAGACGTAATTCGCTAAATGTCTGTCTGTGTTCGTCAGCAAAGCTTGAACATTCTTTGCTCTCATCCTACAGTGTTCAAAAATGGGAGACGGATATTTTTAACGACAATCATTAATTAGAAAACAGGAGCCATTACGGTAATATTTCTTTTAAATGTAAAAATATAGTATGGATAGAATGAATAATGTCATGAGGAGATCCATAACCCGTTTCACCCTTCGCATTATCGTGGAACATAAACACTCGACAACTCTTTTATGCAAGGACGTGAAAAGACGGTAATAGGGGCGCAGAAAGGAGTCTTTGCTGTGGTCTAGATCTATAGAGTGGGAAGGGCCCACCAAAATAAGTACACTGGTTCACGAAAGAAACCAATGGAGACATATGCCTGCCAGAGCTAGAGCAACAGGGGTTACGGAACTTCTCCCCAATCGTTATCGTTCACTCTGCTGCATGCGGCAAAACCTTTTTAGTTGTCCCGCGGCTTCAAACTGCAACTACCGTAGCAGCAGATGACACAGGTGACCTTGAGAGCCCACACACTTCCAAAACCCACTACTATCGTTCGCAACGAACGTTTTGCGCCTAACCAAAGACTTAGAGCAAACTTCTAGCAGGTCTACAGTTGAAAGAGGCGGAGATGATAAGGCTTTAGATGTCGGTCTGTTGCTCTAAAAGGCAACAGGCAGACATAACCACGATTCTCTTGCCACAAATGTTGGTTCAAAGAGTGCCTCGTGTTGGGTAGACTGTACACAGTGATAACGAGAGATAGAAATTGATCACAAGCGGTAAAGGCTGATATCGAGTGCTAGAATATGAGATTCACTGGATTGAATGAACAAATCGTTTGAAAATAGAACGAAGGATTGCCGTGATGGGTAGACCGTTCACCTGTGATCCATCAATCCCATTAAGGTGCAAAAAACAAATTCAGCGGTTCTCCTGCAAGAAGGCTACTTCACTGCATAGTGATTCTATTCGAAGCACCAGCAAATTTCTGTTTTTTCTTTACGTGAAATCAGAGTTTGCCCACTTTTGAGGGAAAAATGAACAAGTTCCATTTCCTGCTGTAGTGTTAAGACCATTTCGAGCATGTAATGTCAGATGAAGAATTTCCTGCTGATTTCACTTTTCTGCTTTCAATGTGGCGAACAGCTGCTCATGTTCTCCACTTTATATGTAAAACAAGATGTAAGATGACAATTCCTTATCATTGAGCACATGTGGAAACTGGTTCCCAAATTCTTGGTTTCACTTTAAGGTAGACTGACCATTGAGCATTGATCATTTGATGGCGTTGAACAAGGCCGACCTCCATAGAGCTCATATAAGAAAATGCTGAGAAAACCAGCGCATCCACAGGGATGGTTGAGAAGAATACCGAAAAAAACTGTACTACCAAAAAATAGAGCCGAGGTGAGAGTTCAGGTGCCCCATGAGTTGAAGGAAATGCACTTGACACCGTGAGTTTGTGTCTGTGATTTTCACTTCGAAGGCAATGAAGACGACTCACTGAAGGCCTGTCGCCATCTGCACGAACAAGAAGCTAATCTCCATCGGAAGAATGTCTTTCGATCGAACTCATGGTATTACAGAGGTGTGATGTACTTCGAAGTGTTTTAAATGACTAGCATGCTAACCTGTACCTTTTAAGTGGAACTTGACGATGCCAAATATGTATAATTCCGTGCTTAATACGTAGCCCTTATCTGGCGCCACCCCCTATCTCGGTTCTTACATCTACACCTGGTCTTTGAATGGGAAAAGCTTCACTGAAATGTGCTTATGGAATTCCATGTAATCCTGTTTTTTTTTTGTCGAAAAAAAATCTGAAGTTCTATGGCAGAGAAGCTGTGAAAAGAACGGGAAAGCTTTTTTGGGAACCTTTTTTTGGGAGCTTTTTGGAAATCAGAGATCTCATTTGTTTGTCGAACGATCCAGAGCAGTCTGACCACAGCTGAGGACATTGAATAATAAATATACGAAAAACGCAAGTATTGCAACAATTTATCATGAACTCTTCAATAAACTTTTGAGATAATCTTTTCTTTCCTCCAAGAGATCACCGTCTGCACAGCGGTTAAAAGCCTCCCATTGTGGGACAGTTTTGAAGAGGCGTATTGCAATGAGATCTTCCTGAAACGAGATTCATTAGTTAATAATCTGTTTTTTAGTCAGCATGCTGAATAGGGAAGGACCTAATACCCGAAAGATCACAAGGATGTTTGTAGCGAAGCATTTACCATGCAGCGAAATGGGACGATGACCTAACAATTACTTTTTTGGGACTAGAGGACAGCGACCCTTTTAGAATTTTTCGTTATTTTCAGGGATCTTTCTTACGCCACCATGCTCTTCTACCTACCATTAAAAGTAGTGAAAACCTACTTTTTTGTCCGTAGTGAAGCGATGATATATTCCAGCTGGAAGGAACACGAAATCACCTCGTTTCACCGGAATACGGATCCACTCATCCTGAAGAAATATTTGAACTTCCTTACCGAATAAGTTAAAGGCACAGTTCAGGACAATTTTGGGGTATCCGGTATTTCAGAGATAGTGGTAGGTAAGGCCTACACTAGGGCAATGGTAAAGCATAAAAGGCTAAAAACAGTGAAAAAAAGGAAAACAAACGGCCGAAAAAAAAGAGGAAAAAGTGGTTGGACGAGATTCATAATGGGAAAACGGTGGTTAAGTGAATTTTCGCGGAAGTACATGAATGCGACGCCATGTGTGCAATGGCACACAAAACACCCAAACAGCTGATTTAGACTAGATTCTTGAAACTATTTATTCCCCAACTGATATTTCGCTGAATTTTTATGTTCATTCAGTTGTTCTGCACAGAAAGGTGAGTAAATTCCCTTATATTTATCATTTTACGATTAAATGTACCTAAGTTTCCATATAGTACGTTGTTTTATAAAATGCATGCTAGGATTTCAATTTTTTTTATTTGCAACGCATTTTCTTCATTTGGGGTCATTTATGTGT